ATTCTTTTTTCACTATTGTATCCCCAGCATCTATCAATAGCATAGTATTGGGTTGGCCAAAAAGTTTGTTTGGACTTTTCCATAACATCTTACAGAAAAACCCGAACAAACTTTTTGGCCAACCCAATATTTGGCACTTAATATGTATTGATTGAATGAACGACTTTAAAAAAGACTGTTGAATCTCAAATAAAACTGCACGTTATCCTTATTGGTGAAACATTAAAATAAAAACAAAGAATGTCAGGTGTGGTAATGTGATTTAGTGTGTATTTGGTCCTCATCTCCCCCCCAAGCCCCATTTGGCAGAGCTACCAAAGACCTTGGAATTTCCTAAGCATGAAGAGCAATGGGAGCAACTTTTGTTACAATATTTGGTCTTTCAGTCCTCAGTTCCTGAAATAGCTCCAGAGCCATAAAAGTGAGTGTCTTCCTATTCATAACATGCCCCTTCTAACCACACCTGACTTATTTTAATGAGGTGACTTTTGGAGAGCTCCCTAAGGATGGGGGCTGGTTGCCAGGGGAACCAACCAAGTGATGAGAGGGTTGGAATTTTAAACCCCACCTCCCAGACCTCTGGGGAAGCAACTGAAGACTGAGTTCAGTCACTAATAGCCAGTGATTTGATCAACCATGCCTGTGTAATGAAGCCTCCATAAAAAACCGGAAGGGTGGGGTTTGGAGATCTTTCAGGTTGGGGAACACGTGGGGGTGCTGGAAGAGTGGTGCAAGGCATGGAGGCTCTGTGCCCCTTCCCACAATCCTTGCTCTTAGGCATCTGTTTGTTCCTGAGTTTTGTCCTTTTGTAATAAGATGGTAATCTAGTAAGTAAACTGTTTTCCTGTGATCTGTGGGCCACTCTAGCAAATTAAACTGGAGGGGGAGGGATTGTGGGGACCTTCTATTTATAGGCACTTGGTGGGAGGCACAGGTGACAACCTGGACTTGGAATTGACCTCTGAAGGGGGAGGCGGCGTCTTTGAGACCGAGCCCTTAAGCTGTGGGATCTGGTATTATCTCCAATTAGATGGTGTCAGAACTGAGTTAAATTATAGGGCACCCAGCTGGTGTCACAGAATCGCTAGGTGTATGGAAACCCCACACATCCGGTGTCAGAAGTGAAGAAGTGAAGTAGACGACTACTGAGAATAGAGGGGCGGAGAGTGTTCTCTTTTACGTCAGGTATCACCATTGTTACTGAAGAGTATTCTGGAAGCATGATCAGAGCAACTAGACAAGAAAATGAAATAAATTTAAATGTTGGGAAGGAAGAGGTGAAAATAATTAGTAAAGCAGTTGATATGACTATATATACTTTGGGGGGAAAATAAAGATGAACAGAAATTATAATGGAAGAATAGTTTTCCTGAGTCTACCTTTTGCTGTTGCCCTGGCCGAAGGGATTTTGCTATGTAGGGATTTTGGGGATAGCTTTAATCAGATATAATTTCAAACTTCAAAGTTGCAAGAATAGTATATATCCCTTACTTAGATTTACCTATTGTTTACATTTTGCCCCGTTTGAGTTACCTATTTATAATTACATCTATATACACATATAATTCTTTCATTTGGAAACATTTAAGGATGAATTGAAGCTATTGTATTTCCTATAAAATGATTTTTTTTCTATAACCAATTAAAATCAGGAAAATTTAACATAAGTTTAAGACTATAATCTGTTGTCCATATTCACATTTTATCTATTGCCCCAGTAACGTCCTGTGTAACTACTTTTTCTCCTGGGTCTGCATCTAACCCAGGATCACACATTGCGTTTAGTTCTCAAATCTCGTAAGGCATCTTTAATTTGGAAAAGGTATTTCAGTTCTTGACCTTTAAGTTTTGGAAGAGCATCAATCAGTTATTTTGTAAAGTGGCTCCCAATTTTGATTTATCTGATGTTTCCTCATTACACTGAGATTATGAATACCACAGACGTGGTATTGTATCCTTCATATCGTATCAGGAGGCATCTTGGTTTATCGCCATACTGTGATGATAGATTTGACCACTTGGTTTAGATGGTGTTTGCCAGGTTTCTCCTAAAGTGTTATTATTTTTCTCTTTGTGTTTAAAAAGTAATCTGTGGAGTGACGCTTTGAGACTATCTTATTTTCATCAAATTTTTATTCCCTAGTTTTAGCGTTCATTTATGATTTTCTTTTTTTTTTTTTTTTATTTTTCGGCTGCGTTGGGCCTTCGTTGCTGCACACCGGCTTTTCTCTCTAGTTGTGGTGAGCGGGGGCTGCTACTGTTCATTGTGGTGCGTGGGCTTCTCATTTTGCAGTGGCTTCTCTTGTGGAGCATGGGCTCTGGGCATGTTGGCTTCAGCAGTTGTGGTGCATGGGCTCACTAGTTGTGGCGTGCAGGCTCTAGGGTGTGCGGGCTTCAGTAGTTGTGGTGCATAGGCTCAGTAGTTGTGGCGCACAGTCTTAGTTGTTCCGTGGCATGTGGGATCTTCCTGGACCAGGGCTCGAACCCGTGTCCCCTGCATTGGCAGGCGGATTCTTTACCACTGTGCCGCCAGGCAAATCCTTTAACCTATTTTCTGCTTCTTGCCATGTGATTTGTAGTCGTACACAATTTCTCTACCTTCCGTTCTCCTCTTCCCGAGTTTTTAGGCAGGCCCATCTTACATACTTTTGTTACCAAACTCTCATATACTCTAAACGTTTGATCGGTTTCCTTATGGGCTTGATCTAGTTGTGTATTAGCCACCTGTTCCCTCTGTTACTATTTATATATTGTTATAGACAACATTCTTATGTTTGAAAGTTCATGTATGTCTCCACATGTGTTAACTCAAATATTACAGATTAAGGGGACCCTGCTTCATCGTTCTAAAATAGATCATGTGATTTAGATAAGAAGCTCCAGTGCCCAGCAACAGCAAATTTATTTGTAAACAAAGTTAGCTGCCTCAGGAATCTAGAATTTTGAATTAGATTTTCTTAAGGTTTAACAAAAGAAACCTTCCCTTGGCAAAAGACTGAGATTAAGAGAGTGATGACCAGTCTACCTTTTCCTTTCTTCCCTGAATTTAGATAGGAACCAGTGTTTTTAATTGCAGGAAAGAGCACGACTGTGGTATCTCACCCACTAGAAATCAGATCCCTACCAAAGTCTTAGGGTGTTGTGTTTGGGAATTCATCTATTCAACAACTATTACTAAGGGTCTACTATGTGCCAGGCTCAGGGGTAGGCAGTGGGCATACGGCAGGAACCAAGCAGACAGAGTCCCTGCCCTCAGGGAGTTTGCATACTAGTCGGATAGACAACAAACAAATATATCAGCTGGTGCTAAATGCTATAGGGAAAAAAAATAAAGCAAGATAAAAGAGACTGATATTAATGGGAGGGGGTGCTTTTTTATAGAGTACTTAGGAAAGAAAAGTGAGATGGTGACATTTGAATAGGGACCTGAAGGAAGCGGGGCGGGGTGCTGGAAGGGGTGGAGATGGGGGGAGGTGAGCAGAGGGAGCACCTTACAAGCAGCAGGAACGGGGAAATGGGGGAGGAAGTTGAGAGAGTGCTTGCTGTGCCTGAGGCTGAGCATTGGGGCATTTGCCATGTTTATATGGTGAAGATGAAGAATCAGCGAAGGAGAAGTAGTCGGTGAGGCAGGAGAGTAGAGAGAGAAGGTACTTGGATGCCAGGTGAATAACCTGTTTCCAGAAAAAAGGAGTCAACTCAGTGAAATGTTGCTGATGGGTCAAAGAGGTTGAAGATGGAGAACTGTAGCCTTGGGGGACTCTGATGTGCTGCTTCAGTGGAGGGGTGGAGACAAACCCTCATTGAAATAGGTTCAAGAGAGAATGCACTGAGTCCGGACGACTCTTTAGAGGATTTTGCTCTCCGGAGGAGGAGAAAAATGGGATGGGACCTAAAGAGTAATGTGGGACCAAGGGAGGGACTTTTCAAGATGGGAGGTGTTATTGTGTGTTAGTAGGCTGATGGGAATTAGCCGATAGACAAGAAACAACTTGACGCAGAAAAGAGGATAGGGTAGCAGAAGCGATGTTCTTGAGCACACGAGCTCCTTGTGATCAAGTACTTGAACGGAGAGATCATTTGAGGCAGGAAGAAGACTAGCATCCACAGGGTCAAGAGGGAGGCTGAGTTTGTTGTATAGTTTGGTACAGTGAACAGAGAAGCAAGTAAAACCAAGTGGGCCACCAGCACATCAACTTCCTTTTCTGCTCTTGCTTTGATTTCTCTCGTTTCTGGCATCTGTGGAGTTCCATTTCTTTGACCTTCACTTTTTTTTTTTTAAGATGAACATTTCTGTGGTTTAGAGTGGGGGGCAGTGGTGCTGTCCTTGAGTTATTAGTCCAGTGTGTTTTGTTGCTGGAAGAGAGAAATTAAAAATAGATCCTTTGAAAGGATTTAAGAGGCCTTGATGTTATGTTACGGGGGAAACGTAATACGGAGAACTTTTAATATAATTGAAAGTATCAGAATATACAGTATATGCTGAATGATAACTATTTGAATGTTCAGAAAAATTCTCTTGCCTTTTGTCTCCTCAGTTAAAGGTGGAAGGACTTATCTGCGTAAATAAGCATAGTTGAAAATATCAGAGATGTTAGTTTAAGCTTTATTGTTAACTTTATTTTTTCAAAATAAAAATATATTTACCTTTTTCCTGATTGTAAAAGAAATACATGTTTGTTGTAAAATATTCAAACAGTACAGAAATGTATAAAGTGAAGTCAGCTCTTCTAACCCACCCTGAAGTCCAGGGGCTTTATAAATGCATATAATTTAAATTATCCAGATCAGAACAGCCTGTCTCGCAGTGAGTTCTTCAAAAGGACAGGACACAAACCTGACCTTTGTTTCAGAATTAAATGTTTGATAATGAATTGCGTCTTAGCTTTTGACTTGTGGGTTTTCCTGATCACTGAGCAGTTAAGTACACAACGGTTTTAAAGGTTTGACTTAATTGATGAAACGCGGATTTGTACTTAGCACATTTTGGGGTCCTTTTATAGGAGAATGAGGTACTAAGAGCTGTGGATCACAGTTCCCAGCATGAGGAAAATGAGCAAAGAGCATCAACCCAGAGGGAGAAATCACTACAGCAGAAGAATGAAGATGAAAATAAAGTAGCAGATAAACCTGTCTGGGAGGCAGAAAAGACCTCTGAACCTAGAAATGAGGTAAGCAAGTTAGACTATCCTGGCCGTACCATTTTGGCTTTAAGGTAGATTTTACGGCTTTTGATAGTTTGTGTTGAGAATGAATATTGTATACGTGTGCCTTACCGTTAAGTAAATCTGATATATGAAAATACATGTTTTTTTTTAAATTGTGGATGTGGTTATTTGGTTGACAAAGGAATCAGCCCACTCACAGACAACCAACCAGGAACTTGCTAGCAGGTTTTGTTGTGTTTGCAAGGGATAAAGAGATGGCTGGCATCCTGAACCCAGAAATCCTCAACCAACCATTTGCAGCAGCCGCCAGGTTGGCCCCTGCAGGCATATCACCCTCAGTCAGCTGGGACTCGGGCACAAGTCCTCACTCAGTCTCCTGGTACGCCATGCTGAAGGGGCAGTCCAGGATCCCACTTTGCATCTTTGACCAGGCCAAGTAGGGTAACCTCCTTGGCTTCTCTCTATAACCACACTCATCAGCAGTGAAAAGGGTATGTAGAAAAATGAACTCCAGAAGCTCGGCTGAAGGGATGGATTCTTCCTGTAGCCTGTGCTTCCTCCCTTCTTTCACTTGGAACATAATTCTGCTCAGCCCTGCTGAGGTCCTAACCCACAAGCCTGGCAAGCAAATGCTCCAGATGGATCTGGAGGTTCCACAGACCTTTAACCACTTGACACTTCCCCTGGCACCCTTTGCAGGTCTTGCCCTGATGGGTCTCTCAGCCCTGAATTGCTCCAGGTGGCACTTGGAGCTGGGCCTTGAACACTGTTGGGAGGGTAGAGAGAGTACCATGCCTTGGCCCTGCTTAGACAGCCCACCATCATTGTAGCCTTACCTATGTAACATCACACCGAACATCACATGATTGACAGTGGAGTCAGAAAACAGCTCTGCTCCCTTTGCCCACCCACCACGCCCCCACCCGCTCCAGCCTGTTCTAAGGAACTAGTTCTTCCCTACATGCTGGGTGAAATCTGGGACAGACCCTGTGGCTTCTAGATAATCAGACAAAAATTTCTCTCCGGTCATCCCAGTGCAGCAGTTGATAAATATAGCCAGTGTAATTCTCAAAAACTGAACTGAAATTTAGTTTTTCCCCTCTATCCCTGCTGCAGCCTCAAAGCCTAGCTGAGTGGAAAGGGGTGTGTGTGGCCAGCTTCTCTTTTTCCCCAGTTCTTTCTCCCTTGCTTGTACAGCCAGCAGTCTTACCTGGAGCTGAGGGTGTGATGGGTGGTAAGAGCTTAGAAAAGGTGTTCCTTGACTGGTGCCAGCCTGAAACTGTTTTCCCTGGACTGTAGGATGTTACTTAAAACTGCTTCTCTGTTCGATGGGCTCTTTCACTTCACAGGTTTTGGAGACTCCACCACCCAGCTGGGAGTCCTTCACCTGCCCTTCTCTTCACAAGGACACATGCACCTCTACCTCCAGGTGGCCTCTCAACCACGTGCTGGTCCTGGAAACCTGCACCTCACCTCCTTTTATCAGTCCAATCACTTCTCTAACAAGCCCTTGCTTGGCCTCTTGCCCTTATTTTTCAGGCAAGCTCTGGATGCATATCTGCTGTGTTCCATAAACACACCATGTTTCTATGTGGTTTCTATGTATGTTTTTGCTAGTCTCACAGTGGGGAGCACACCCCAAGGAACCCTCCCATTTTCACTTTACCTCTCAGGCTGTTCAACACTTTTATGACCTACCTACAGTTGAGGATCCCATTGCAGCCTGGCATTTCACTGTGAAATGCAGGTGTTTCCATCTGCCTCTGCTCTTACCCACTGTTGTTCTCCCCAGACCTTGTGTTTTCCTTGTAATTCGTGTACCGTCCTGTGGCTTTACCATCTGCTTATACACACACATCAGTGCCAGTGAACACTGAAAGAACCATATTTGTTTTGAAGGAGACATTTCAGCTCACTTTCCTGAATGCTTCCCAAGTTATCTTTTTTGAGGCAAAAGATGTTTTTACCAGTCTCTTTACCACTTCACTGTGTATAGATTTATGCTCTTGGTTCATTTTTCTCTTGTGTATGTCTTTGCAATCACACCCCTTCACCAGACTTCCCAGAAAAGTAGCAACTGTGTTCTCTACTTTTTTGAATTACCTATAGTAACTAAGGTAGTTACTATCACTGCTAGATAACAGGCACTCGTTAAATAATAATGAAGAGATAGATGAAGTAGGGAGCTTTCCTCAGAATTTAAAGTTTGACTTGAGACAAACATCAATTTGAACAAAACCTTCTAGAAACACATCACTTAGAGCATGACATGACAATTATATACATCTCTTGTAGAAGCGTCTAACAACACATCTGCTCTCTTACTGAGATATGTTACTTAGGAGGGAGCTGTCTGTGACCAAAGTGAATCACTGGCATTTGAAAATACCTAGGATGACTGACGTAATTTACTCTTTAACAGTAAGCTCTTTCTAGCTCCACTGCAAGCCTGGACTTGGCTAGCTGTTAATGAAGACTAAATACACAGTATATATAGGAATATATATACTGAAGATACTTTCCTCTCACTAAAGACAAGTTGAATTTATATATTGCTTCATCTTTTTAAAGGTATAAAGTGATCCTAGTGATCTCTGTTCAAAATGCAGTGAGTTCTTGACGAAAAATAGAACTGATGTGAAGATTTAGGAAGGAGGATGACTGCAAACAGAATACTGTCCATAGTTAAAGCCCTCAAGTAGAAGGCATCAGCCTGAGATTCTGAAGTGAAGTGGGAGGGCCCCCCCCCCATGGACTAGCAGTTACCTGAAGCCAACACCACCCTCAAGAGCAGAACGGAACCTGGGGAGAAATACATGAGGTGTCTAAGGGACTCTGTCACATCTTGCACCCTCCCATCTCTTGCCTGTCTCCTGTGGATCACCCAGGGGGCTAGCTCCTCAGACCTCTATCTCCAGGGGCACTGAAGAGGAAACAGGTATCTAATGAAACACATCTTTGACTAGCTAAGGATCAGTCCATAATTCATTTTAAGCAGAATGATCTTCATAACAATATTTGTATGTTCTACATATTAAGGGTTTCTTTTCTGCAAAGTGTTATTTACCCACAGTTAAGGACTGTTTTTGCAGGAAT